CTGCAGGCTCCACCTTGAGCTGCTCCGCCCGTCCTTGGACCCCCACGGATCTCCAGCCCGACTCCGTCATAACAGACCCATCCAGCAGACTGTCAGGACGAGGCAGGAGGGCCACACCATCATACGCCACCACCGTGCTTCACTGTGACTCTACATGGAGTAAGCGTTCAGGAGAACCGGTACTGATCTCAGGGCGCGTTCACACCAGTACCGTTCAGTCCGCTTTAATCCCAAACTGTTTTCAGTCACATAGACTCACTTTGATTTGGACCAAAACTGAAAACATTCGTTACATTTTCAGCTGCTGTGATTCTTGCAGACTGAGCTGGTAGACTCACTGCTTCAACCATCCAGAGCTGTTTATTATTATTCAGATTATGTACTTATTATATGAAGTCATACAAATAGTTTGTTTCTGTCAGTGGAAATGTTTTCTTTTTGTTGTTTGAAGGTAAAAACAGCAGAAAATCCCCTCAGATTGCTTACAGCGATGCCAGTTAAGTATGCTAGTTAGTATAGCTCACCTGCTTCATGTGGAGGAGTAAGGCTGGTCTGCGGGGTCAGAGGTCATGGCTGCTGCTGACTTTGACTCATCTGTTGGTAAAACGAACGGAGACAGAATAAATATAAGAATATCTTTGTCAAACTTTCCTTTACTGACTAAATGCTGCTGAATGGAGGCTAACACTCGTAAGCTAATTAGCATGTCACTGAACAGAGCTGCTCACCTGCTTCACAGGACTCAGGCTGGATTCGGGGCTAACGAGCTAAGCTAACACGTTCAAGACGACATAATCACAGAAGCTTTAATCACTGACAGGCCTGACGAGGCCACGGATGTTTTTTGTTCACTTTTGCAGTTGTACAGTCTTATGTTCGGTTCATATTTCCAAATAAGTTTATAAAATCATTTTTAACATTAGCTGCTGCGCTTTCTCCTTCGACGTGATGTTTTATCTGGCTGGAAGTCCGTACGGAGAGCGGCGCCATCTAGTGTCTGTAAAAACAAACTGCATGCTGACGTCATGGTTCCTCATCTGTTGGTCAATGTGGTTAAAGGCACAGTGACAAGTTAAAGTTATGAAAATATTGATAAATATTTGTTTTCAGACATTGAATGACAGTGAGTTGGAGGCTAACACTGTTAGCTACAGAAGCACCTGTGTTGGACAAAAACTCCTGGTGCCAAAAAACATTTATTTATCGTCTGTCTGCTTTTAGGGAAAAATAAAAACGAGCAAAATGAATTTACGTTCCGTTAAGAAATAAAGATGTTAAAAAGTGGCGCGCCCTCTAGCGGACAGCAGCAGCTCCTGCAGGCGTTCAGCAGGAGATGAAGGCGATGAGGAGAGATGCTGCAGTGCGGCATCAACCCCCTCATGACGTCATCAAAGGGTCGGGGGTCCTCCATATTAAACAGCCACATTAGAGCGTTAAACGGAGGGCAGCCGCCTCCAACTCCAGAACTGGAAGTGACCCCGCTCCTCTCCCCGCCTCGGCCCTTCCCATCATGCTCGGCGGGCTCCCAGGAGCCCTCGCGCCCTCCCTGCCATCTGCCGTGATTTATAGAAAAACAGCCGATGATTTATGGGCCAGTCAGCTGATGAAGTTGTTCTCTCATCGCTGCGACCTCCCGACCCGCCAGCCCGGCCGGTGCTAATCATGCGGCGAACGGGGCCCCTTAATGAAATTAGGGCTCCACGGGGCCAGAATACTGATGCAGCGGAACCATCCGGTCCGGTTAGCACTCAGAACCGCCCTCGGACCGGAGGAGTCCCACAGGCACAGGCGGCACAGGGACGGCCTAGTCAAAGGCTGGAGACACCACAGGATAAAATGCAGTTAAACTTCACATATTTCAGTCACAACCTGCTGAGATTTCTATTCTGAAAAGCTTCAGGACAGGAAGCTCATTGATCAGTGATCAATAATCGCTGATCAATGATCAGTGATCAATGACCAGGTGACGTTTGCTGTGAATTCAGGACTTTCCTCAAAACCAAATGAAAGCGATTAAAAACAGAAGTTTGTAACTCATTTCTTTATCGCACCTGCTTCGGTTTTTAACATTTTGATGCATGAGTTTAAATCCTGCTGGTTCCGGTTCGGGTTCCGGTTCCTGTTCGGGTTCCGGTTCGGTTCACCTGTCTGCAGGTGAGGAAAGACGAGTCGAGCTGATCCGCAGCAGCAAACAGCGAGCTGAGAGCGCCCCCTGCTGGATCTGACAGGACAGCTGACCAGCCCCGCTGCCTCATGGGAAATGAAGTAAAACCAGTTAGAGAAACCAAAACAATCATTTCAATGAAAATCTCTCATTTTAAACGGACTAAATGTTTATTTCCTTTTTTTTATCTTTTCACCGTATTATTGTCAGTGAATTCAGACTCATTTGATGCTTCAATTAATATTTCAGCTGCATTTAAAAATCAGAAGAAATTTTAAAGAGTGAATTTTGGCCTCATAAAATACAATAAAATTCAACCAAATTTAAATTTGATCCAGTTTGAAACAGGCAGAAGAAGCTGTGACTCTGGCCATTTTAAACTGGGATTATTAATATTATAATAATTATTATTATTGAGCACTTTCATCTGTGGGAAGGAAACATTGTTTCTAAAAAGCCTCAAGGAATATTTGGACAGTTAGAGCGCCCCCTAGTGGCGTCCAGATGGAAAATAATAGAGCTGTCAATTTTTTAAAAATCATATAATAGAGCAAATTATATTCGGAATATCTTTTTAAGTAAATTTCGAGCCTCTGTATTGTTTTGATGTGATTTTGGTCATAAAAACTTTATATTTCTGTACTAATTGTTGAAGTGATGGATGAAATGAGGCCAGCAGGTGGCGCTGTTCGTCTGTAGCAGTGAACAAACTTCTCATCTTTAAGGAGCAAAAGTTCAACTTAAGAAACAGCAGCTATTAAAAATTAAACTTTCTAATTAAAATAGAAAGATAAAACGTGTTTCACTTTTTAGACATTTTCGCATCCAGGTCCAGATAATCTTATTGAACTAGTGATTTTTCATCAATATTAATTATTGATCGCAATAAGCTCCTATATTTTTGCCTGATTTAAAGTCTACTTAGATATGTGCTGTAGAAAACACTTTAAAAAATTATTTTTGTTTCTGCAGGAAACTGCAGCCCTTGATGTCCCGGGTTTTTTCCCAGCATGCATTGCAAACCTACAGTGGCCTGATGTAAACAGACTGATGTGTGCGGATGGCTTCTTCCTGTCAGAGCGGCTCTTCAGCCCGGGTCAGTACAGAACTTACTGAAGATGCAACAAGAGGAGGAGGAGAAGAAGAGTGATTGTTTATTGTTGGGGATAAATAAAGTCCAGCAGAACTGGAGCAGAACTTAAGGCGGATCCAACCAAAGCGTCGGGCGCCATGCATCTGCAGCTTATTTACAGCAGCTCTGAGTTTCAGTCCACCTTAAAGGGGGGCGCAGCGTTAGCATTAGCACAGGTTAGCAACGGTTCGGATGTTGGTTCTGTTCGGGATAGTCGACCCAAAGGCACACGCTAACAACAGCAGCCTGGTTCTGGAAGGAGAACCAGGAACTGGGATCAGACCGAAGGTTCTGAAAGGTCCAAACGGTTCTGGAAGGAAAGCAGGAAGCAGTCCGCTGCTTGGCGTCTGGACTCCGTCCTGATCCAGGTCCAATTCAGAACGAAACGTTATGAGTCAACTCAGAATGAAACTAATGACACAAACAGCTGCAGCGACTGCACTTTGACTAGGCCACACCGGAGGAGCTCAGCAGTGGTTGGAAATACGATAAACCATCAAAAAACAAAAACTGAAATTAAACCCATAGAAACTTTTCCACATTTCTAACTTACTGAGCTGCTTTCTAACTTATTTAGTTTAAGATTAAAAGATGATTTTCTGCCAGCAGGTGGCGCTGTCAGTGGAAAACCTGGAAAATATATCAAATAAAACCACATAGAAATAAAATCGTTAAACAAGTAAAGTTAGTGGTGAAGAAAAACAAAAAGAAATTCACTGTAAGTTAGAGAATGTTGAGATGTAAAAATGAATTTCAAACTTCAGTTCTTCCCTGAACTAAAATGAATGAACTAATCAAATCAGTGAACTAGTTCCTTTTCTTCTGAGGCGTTTGTATTCTGTGACAGATTTATTGTGGTGCTGCTGCCGCCCGTCAATAAACCGCAGAGCTAAAACAACAATAATAATAATACTAATAATAATAATAATAATAATAGTAGTAGTGAGGTAACAGCGGCGCCTCCTGGTGGAAGCAGCAGTTAGACCATCCAGTGTGCTGATGAGGAAATCCACACAGTTTCTGATTATTGCTCAAGTCCAGACTTCACACTGATTGGCCAATCAGAGCAAAGCTCAGCTGATTGGTGCGTCCATCGCTCAGGTTGAGTCTGATTGGCTGCTGGTCGATCCATCCAACTCTTCACATTCTGTAAGCGGCTCCTCTGCTGATGATCAATATTGAAATCCTAATGCTGATTATTGGCAGCTGCAGTCAGAGTGACGCTGAGGGACCAGCAGTAGTCTTCCTCAGGACCTTCATCCAGCTCATGCATAGTTGAACAGCTGTGGATCGCCATCAGCTGCGTCTCCATGGAAACACAATATTTACAGGCGTGGAATCATCAATCATTAATTACTTGGTAAAATCGCACTAAAAAGATCAAACTGAAGCATCTCTGGTTGCCATAGAGACCGCCTCCTGCTCTGATTGGCTACGCCCACTGATTGAAAGTCTTAAAGGTCCAGAACCCTCGGCGACACGTTGACCGTTAAAATCTAAAACCTGCAGCAGGAAGTCAGAGACGTGGTTTGGAACGGAACAATGACAGGTGAGGCTTTAAGGAGGAAGTGAAAAAAGTCCCACAGGAAGTGACATCCTGCAGGCTTCTCCGTCATTGGCCAGCCAGATGATCAGCAGTGAAGATCTCTACATTCATCCTTAAAGCTCCTCCTCTTCCTGAGGCTGGAGGAGGTGGAGGTCCAGGAGGAGGTCCAGGTCCAGGTGGAGGTCCAGGTGGAGGTCCAGGTCCAGGTGGAGGTGGAGGTCCAGGTCCAGGTGGAGGTGAAGGTCCAGGTCCAGGTCCAGGTGGGTCAGTAGGAGGAGATGTCGGAGGAGCTGCTGCTGTTGCTGGTGGAGGTCTGAGCTCTCTTGATGTAGAGATTCAGCAGCTTCATCTGCAGAACAGCAGAAAGTCACTTTATGGAATAATTGTTCTTAAATTATGATAACTTTGGGTAAATATATCCTGGTTCTGCTGCGTCATGAGACTGAGGGTAACGGCGTGTCTGGATGCAGGCAGGCAGACAGAGGCATTGTGGGTAACGGCGTACCTTGCTGCCGGTCAGCTGGGACAGGTGGGGCTTGAGCTCCTCTCCGATGACGGCGTAGACGGCCACCAGGCAGAAGACGCTGGCCTTGCGGACGCTGCTCTCCGTGTTGTCGTAGCCCTGCAGCAGGCCGGGGATGACGTCCGGCAGCAGCTGCAGCAGCGGCTCCCTGCAGACGCGCTCCACCGCGCGGGTCTGCATCTTGATGGCGGCCAGGTTGACGGGGTAATCGGTGGTCTGGACGATGGGGCACAGCACCTTGATGCACTGCTCCGGGTGGATGGAGCCGGCCAGGGCGCAGGCCGCCTCCTCGGCCGCACGCACCACCTGGAGGAGGAAGAGCAGCAACGTCTTCTTCACAAACTGAGGCAAAGTGACCTAAGATGCATTGAACTTGAAGTTTTTCTGCAGTCAGTGAGCAGCAAATGATGACATCATGTTCATCATCTTAGCCGTGTTGCTGCGCGGCGGCGGCAGCAGCTTTCGGCGCCTCACCTCTTTGTGCGAGTCCTTGTGAGCCTCCAGCGTCTTCATGATGGTCAGCTCTGCGTAGTTCTTGAACCGGGCCGGCTGGTTCCGCAGGATCTCCTTCAGAACCCGGAGAGCCAGCGCCCGGACCGAGTGCTGCGAGAGACGGAGCGGGTCACGACCGACTGACGGATCACTTCACAGCAAACAGTCGACACATTTTACACTTTGACTCTTAAAAACTGTCATTTTGTGAGGAATGTTTCCCACAGGAAGTGGAAGACATTGTTAGTTTCCAAAATAAAACACCTACAGTCAAACAGGTTCTGATAAATGCTACTGATCTCACGACATTGTGAGTCAGTACCGGTCCGGTTGGACTCACGTCCTTGTCCCCCAGCGTCTCCAGCAGCAGCAGCAGCAGGGTCTTGAAGTGTTCGTCCCACACCAGCAGGCTGTCCTCGCGGGCCACCTTCAGCAGCTCCAGCAGAGTCCCCCGCCTGTCCTCCTGGTCCCCGGCCTGGGACAGCTCCTTCAGCAGCTCCCCCACCAGCTCCAGCTGCTCCGCCGACCCGGCTGCAGCCACAGAACCGTGTTAGGACGGGAAGCGGCGGTTCTGCTGAAGCTCTGGGTTTGTTACCTGGAAAGCTCTTGGCGTTCAGCGTCTTGTTTTCTCTGCACTCCTGCCGCCGGCCTGCAGGGGGAGCCAAAGTTAGACAGTGACGGACCCGGCGAGCCGCCGCAGGACGTCCAGCTCACCGTCTCTCTGCGGCTCGGCGCCGTCCTCCGGGCCGGGCTTCTCCGGCGAGCCGTCCGTGTAGTTGTAGGGGTTGTACTCCCTGAAGCGCAGCCCGGAAAACGAGCGAGGCAAAGGCGTGTTCAGCAGGGACGTCTTGTTGTCCAGAGCCGTCCTGCCGCCCTCCGTCACGTCGCCACAGAACCGGTGCTCTGGGTTCGACGGCGCCGCCACGCCGGCCTGGAAGCAGAACAGCCATGACGTCTAGACCCAGCCTGGTGGGACGAGGCGGCGTGAACACACTGACCGTTCCGTCCCGCTTCGCGTCCCGCTTCCCGTCCCGCCGCAGAGACTCCACCGGCTCCTCCTGGCTGCGGAAGCTGAAGCTCTGGATGGCCTCAGAGACGCCGCGCAGGGAGCAGAACAGATCCTCGGTGTTCAGGTTCTCACTGTCGTACTCCAGCATGCTGCAACAGAGGAGCACAGGCTGAAGGTGCTGCTGCTACTGCGGGAGACACTGAATGGACGAGTCCTGCAGGACATGGATCAGTCCTGGACTCTGTCCTCCAAACCACTGGACCCGTTTTATTCAAACTGGACCAACAACAGTCCAACAGTGGTGGCACAAGTCACCGAAAGGTTAGCACAGCTAACGTTAAGTCGCTCATCAGAAACATGAGCAATGCTAACGCTAAAGGCTAAATCATAAATATTATGTATCCTGACCCTGAAGCATTAGACACCATCATCAGATAATGCGCTAAATGAAACCATGTCAAAGAAGCAACACGTCGCCCTCTATAGGATCAAATCTGTATTAATAAATGTTGAACACGAGTCGACTCTAAAACATTAGCTTAAATGAGCTCTGCTATTAGCGCATTAGCTGCTTAGCTAACCCTAGCCTAGTGCCACCACTGGGTTTGGTCCATGCCTAGCAAAGCCTCTGTGGGTCGAGGAACCTGGATGGACATGATGTTGATGAGGTCACACGACACCTGGGACAACAGGTGAGTCAAACAGACGATGGGTGGAGGGTGGGGGGCGGGGTTACCTGGGAGAGTACGCTCGCCGTAAGGCCTTGAGGGAGGCAGAGGGAGGAAGAGGGGAGGGGAAGGGAGGAGGGTATTTGGAGAGGCCGTCGGCGCTCCAGCCCCACAGTCGACTGCAGGCGGGGGAGGGGGAGAGAGGTTAGAGTCTGGGTCCTGACCGGAGGTCGCCGGGTCAGGACGTCCCGTTCTCACCTGGGGGAGAGGTGGTTGGTGGGCGAGGTCAGCGGGCTGCTGCGGCTGCCGGGGGGTCGGGCAGGCGTCCGGCCGGCCGAGTCGCCCGGAGCCTCCTGGAGCAAGCAGAAGGTCAAAGGTTGTGGAGGAAACCTGCAGTCACACCTGAGTGACGTTTCTCCTCATCGTCTCCAGATCAGCTTCATTTGAGTCAAAGTTTAAACGTGTGAATAAAAGCGTTTCCAAAGGTCATCAGAGGTCACCGCACTACCTTCAGACTGACACTGCTTTAGGTACAATTGGCGAAGGTCAGGTGAAGGGCGTTACCGTGGCGACGCCGGCGCTCCGCAGGTGGCTGTGCAGCAGCTTGGTGGTTCCGTCCTGGAAGGTTTTGGGCAGCGCTCCCAGCAGCATGGTGAACTCCGGGGTGTTGAGCTCAAACAGGGCGATCAGAACCACCTGGGCCGCCTGCAAGACACAAACCGGACCGGATGACGTCTCCGGTTCCCCGTGCCTCCACCGGGGGGCGCCGCCGCCGACCGGACCTGCAGAACGGGTCAGAGCCGTGTTAGCCAGGCGGCGGACATGCAGTCAGAAAGGAAAGCAGCTTCTGCAGACGCATGCAGCAGCTGCAGAGAAACAGGAGCCAGGTTAGTGACAGAGCCCGGTTCTGACCCGAAAACCGCCTGGTTCTGACCCAAAAACTGTCTGGGTCTGACCCGAAAACCGCCCGGTTCTGACACCGATTCCGCCCCGTTATGACCCGAAAACTGCCCGGTTCTGACCCGGTTGTTGCCCCGTTCTGACCCGGTTGTTGCCCCGTTGTGACGTGGTTGTTGCCCCGTTCTGACCCGGTTGTTGCCCCGTTCTGACCCGATTGTTGCCCCGTTGTGACCCGATTGTTGCCCCGTTGTGACCCGGTTGTTGCCCCGTTGTGACCCGGTTGTTGCTCCGTTGTGACCCGGTTGTTGCCCGGTTGTGACCCGGTTGTTGCCCCGTGCTGACACGGTTATTGCCCCGTTCTGACCCGGTTGTTGCCCCGTTCTGACCCGGTTGTTGCCCCGTTGTGACCCGGTTGTTGCCCGGTTGTTGCCCCGTTCTGACGCGGTTGTTGCCCCGTTCTGACCCGATTGTTGCCCCGTTCTGACCCGATTGTTGCCCCGTTGTGACCCGGTTGTTGCCCCGTTGTGACCCGGTTGTTGCTCCGTTGTGACCCGGTTGTTGCCCGGTTGTGACCCGGTTGTTGCCCCGTTCTGACGCGGTTGTTGCCCCGTTCTGACCCGATTGTTGCCCCGTTGTGACCCGGTTGTTGCCCCGTTGTGACCCGGTTGTTGCCCCGTTGTGACCCGGTTGTTGCCCCGTTGTGACGCGGTTGTTGCCCCGTTCTGACCCGGTTGTTGCCCCGTTGTGACCCGGTTGTTGCCCCGTTCTGACCCAGTTGTTGCCCTGTTGTGACCCGGTTGTTGCCCCGTTCTGACCCAGTTGTTGCCCTGTTGTGACCCGGTTGTTGCCCCGTTGTGACCCGATTGTTGCCCAGTTATGACCCGATTGTTGCCCGTTGTGACCCGGTTGTTGCCCCGTTCTGACCCGGTTGTTGCCCCATTCTGACGCGGTTGTTGCCCGGTTGTGACCCGGTTGTTGCCCCGTTCTGACCCGGTTGTTGCCCCGTTGTGACGTGGTTGTTGCCCCGTTCTGACGCGGTTGTTGCCCCGTTGTGACCCGGTTGTTGCCCGGTTGTGACCCGGTTGTTGCCCCGTTCTGACCCGGTTGTTGCCCCGTTCTGACGCGGTTGTTGCCCGTTCTGACCCGGTTGTTGCCCGGTTGTGACCCGGTTGTTGCCCCGTTGTGACCCGGTTGTTGCCCGGTTGTGACCCGGTTGTTGCCCCGTTCTGACGCGGTTGTTGCCCGTTCTGACCCGGTTGTTGCCCCGTTCTGACCCGGTTGTTGCCCCGTTCTGACCCGGTTGTTGCCCCGTTCTGACCCGGTTGTTGCCCCGTTGTGACCCGATTGTTGCCCCGTTGTGACCCGGTTGTTGCTCCGTTGTGACCCGGTTGTTGCCCTCTGACCCGGTTGTTGCTCCGTTGTGACCCGGTTGTTGCCCCGTTCTGACCCGGTTGTTGCCCCGTTCTGACCCGGTTGTTGCCCGGTTGTGACCCGGTTGTTGCCCCGTTCTGACCTGGTTGTTGCCCCGTTCTGACGCGGTTGTTGCCCCGTTCTGACGCGGTTGTTGCCCCGTTCTGACCCGGTTGTTGCCCAGTTGTGACCCGGTTGTTGCCCCGTCCTGACCCGGTTGTTGCCCCGTCCTGACCCGGTTTGTTGCCCCGTTCTGACCCGGTTGTTGCCCCGTTGTGACGTGGTTGTTGCCCCGTTCTGACCCGGTTGTTGCCCCGTCCTGACCCGGTTGTTGCCCCGTTCTGACCCGGTTGTTGCCCAGTTGTGACCCGGTTGTTGCCCCGGTTGTTGCCCGGTTCTGACCCGGTTGTTGCCCAGTTGTGACCCGGTTGTTGCCCCTCTCATGCCGGCTCTACCTGCTTGCACCTCTCCTCCAGTTGCCCCTCCCGGGGCAGAGAGGCGGTGGAGCTGCGATCCTCACCTGCCCAGGTGTGGAGCGTCTGAGGGGGGAGAAACATTCATGGTCTCGTTGTCACCATCAGTTATTGATTATGTGAACGGTTATTTCTGCCAGAGGATCAATAACTGTATAAATGATCAAATGAGGCAAAAGAGAAGCAAATAATAACAATAGTTTTATGAGTTGATCAAATTGATCTATTTCTAGAAACTGTCTCTGTTCATCTTAAGTCTTTAGATCTTGTTTTGGACATTTTGATGTTTTTCTCTCATCCTTTGATCTGCTACAATCTTTCTAATCTTTGATCCCAATAATGCCATAAGTTCTAAGGTTCTGAATCCTCCCGGCCCGGTCCAGGACGGTTCCCATGATGCACTGCGCGGTACCTTGCGGACGTCGGCGCTCTTGGGCTCGGTGGTCCAGGTGATGATGCGTGAGACGGCGAGGCGCGTCTCGCTGGAGTTGACGAAGTGGGCCGGGTCCATGAGTCGGGCCAGAGCCTGGATGTAGCGCAGGATGGCCACCTTGACCTTCAGGTTGGGCGTCTGGGTCTGATCCACGATGAACCGCATCAGGATGTTGAACTGCAGCTCCAGAGGGAACGACTCCCTGAGGGACGCCACAAACCAATCATCTGACATTATTGAAAGGCTAAACAACCAATCAGCAGGAGGCTGCCTCTTTCACAATAAAAGCCCCGGTCTCTCGTTGGGCTACAACATAACCATCCTCCGGTTCTGGTTCTGGTTCTGACCTGGTGACGTCCAGAGCCTTCTGGACCTTGGCCTGGACCGAGCCCAGCAGGTCGGCGCCCATCTTCTTCAGCAGCTGGGTGAGCAGGACGAAGAGCCAGTCCTGCAGGTCGTCCCGGTGCAGGACGATAAAGTCCACCAGCGTCTCCAGGAACATGCTGAACACCTGGCAGGTGAGGAAGAGGAGGGTCAGGACCAGGAGGAAGGAGACAAAGAGCAGCTGCAGGGAGGAACCACTTACTCTCTGGGTTTGTTAGAGTCCAGTGCAGAGAGCAACATGCAACAGAGAACACTGAGTTAGTCCAAGCTGCTTCCTGCCTACAGTCTGACAGGAAGTGACATATTTCTGCTTCCTGTCAGGAGGTCCTCACCTTGCTGTGCGGGTCTGCAAACATCCTGGTGAAGATCTCACAGAGTCGCTTCAGCTCCACACGGCTGGAGGCAAACAGAGTCTGTTCAGGCTCACGCAGAAACAACAAGCTCTCTGATTGGCCGGCCTGCCAGGCCACGCCCACCTCAGCTGCCAATCAGATGGTTCATTGAAACTCTACTAGTTTTCTGCGCTCCATGTCCTCCTGTTGTTTCTGTTGCTGATTGTTTCATATTTATGGTTTTAAAAAGCAACGTATTGATTCGTATCTAAATGTAAATGAACGAGTTTCTGTTGAAGTTAAAGGTTTTTGCGTCTCAGTGATTCATGGGCCCACCTGAGCGACCTCTGGCCCTTCAGCAGGTTCTGCAGGCCCAGCAGGCCCTCCTTCCTCTCCGACCAGTTGGAGCTGGCGCAGTGGTTCAGGACCTCCGCCACGTCCTCCGTCTGCCGCAGGAAGTGGGGCCCGGCGCCGCCGCTCCTGGAGCTGAAGGAGCGCTCGGAGCAGGCGCTGGAGGCGTCGCTGTTGGCGTCGTCGTCAGAGTAGATACCGGGAGACTCGAAGCGCCGCCGGACGGGCCGCCGCTGTCGGAGGAGAACCAGAGTGAGCAGGAAGCCTGACGGCGGCCGGACAGACGGACATGCTGACGGACGGACGGAGAGTTTGCTGAGGATGAAAGTCTGAAACACGCTGCATGCAGGCACACAGGATCTACTACCTTACTACTCCTGGAGTCTCCCAACAGCTGGAAGTCATAAGAAACCCGACATCAGCACCACGGAGCTCAGATCAGACAGAGAGAGGGAAACTGCAGCTGCTTCCTACCAGAGCGTCGGCCACGGCCGCCTCCACCTCGGTGCCCGTGTTCAGGACCCGCATGGCGTTGACGGAGGCCGAGATCCGGGCCTGATGGGCCAGGCGGTCTGAGGAGGAAGAGACAGCAGGGTCAGACGGGACAGCATCATCATCATCATCATCATTGTCACATCACCGAATAAACAGAATCTTACCAACTACTATTGTCTAGTTTCTACTGCCAATGTATTGATATAGGAGTTTGTTTTCAGTCAATAATGTCTTAAAGGGACAGAACTTTGTGTGTGTAGCTCATTTTAGTACCTATGTTTCCTCCGGTTTTTATAAAATGCTAAATATATGTCAAATATGACTTCAAAAAAATTAGACTTCTTGATTTAAGGTCTCTGTCCCTTTAAGAAGATCCTGCTCTTTCTGAAGCTCCGCCTCCAACAAGTCATCCCAACATGGCTCCTCTATTTTCTACCAGCTCAGCAGTTCCACCAGCTGTTTGCTAATTCGCTTGGCTAGTCTGAAGGATCACAGTGGGGGAGGAGCTACACCTCGAAGGCGGAGCTAAGTCCACCAGGTGTTTAGCAGCGGTTGCCACGGAGATTAAAGGATTTCTCAAAGAAGAAAGAAGCAAACAGAGCAACAACGCAGGAAAACCATCAAAACATGATGGAAAGCTTAAGAAGTCCATGTTACATAATACTGACGCTTTTGTACTAAAACATTTTCATCAACACTAAGGAATTACTGACCTAAAACAAGCTGCTGCATCGTGATGAAAAGTTAGTTTTGTCTTATTTCACCTGCAGTCAGGTTTAACTGTTATTTATTTTTAATAAAACCAGACAAACGACTTGGTGAGACTTTGTGTTTTTACAGTGTGACTCTTGGACCCAAAGCAACCAGGAACCTGAAGCAGCTCAAACTTCAGTAGAGATGCAACACAAGACGCAGCAGGACGGCTCCTGAAATCAGCAGCAAGCCCAGGCATGTCTCCTGGTACTCTTAACCTTTGACCCCGCAGCATGGGGCTGTTGACTCAGCCATGCAGGTAAATGAGCATGAATAAATGAGGAGGTCAGAGTTCACCTGAGCAGCCCTCTGCAGAGGACAGGGCGCTGGTGGAACGGGAATGAGGCCGGCTGGCTGCAGGAGGAAACAGAAACCACAGCAGGTCCCTCACTCTGAGGCGTCTAAAGCAGACGCTGGCAGCTCAGGGGCCGCGGGGTCACGGGGTCACAGGGCCACAGGGCCGCGGTCAGGTACTCACCCAGTGGGGAGAAGCCCCTGGCGGGGCTGGTGTCGCGGCTGCTCTCGCGACTGGTTTCCCGGCTGCAGCCCTGACTCATGCTGGGCCGAGGGATCCGGCTCCGGGCTGCAGAGTCCGGACGGAGAGGACGGAGAGGACAGGAGAAGAGGACAGGAGAAGAGGACAGCGCTTCATGCAGTGAGTTACAAAGGCTGGGTTAGACAGCAGGAGGACAACATGGAGGAGGAGCATGCAGGATCTGTGTCCAAATGGTGGAGAAACCAGGAAACATGGCAACATGGCCAACGGCAGGGCTGTGTTCTCCTTCCTGTTCTCCTTCCTGTTCTCCTTCCTGTTCTCCTTCCTGTTCTCCTTCCTGTTCTCCTTCCTGTTCTCCTTCCTGTCAGCTTTCATCACGTCTGGCTTCATTTTACCAAGAAAACCAAAAAACTGCAGCAGTTTGCAGATGATATCCAGGTTTTCATAAAGTATTTACATAACTATAACATCTACACATTAAAAATAATGTTTTGTGTCATTGATTACATTTTTCTGAATATTATCTGCAGCCAAAATTACAAATAATTTATCAGGATAATAAATAAAGGTTTATTCTATGTGTGATGGATCTTTATATAAATAAGTTTTACTTTCTGAAATGAGACAAAAGATGGTTTAAAAAGTGAAACTTTCTCACCTAAATGTTTTATTTTGTAGATAATTTTGGTCAAAAGTTCTCATGATGTTATGAATTTTACTACATGCATAAAAATTATTAGTCTTTACTTAAAAATCTAATTTTAAATAACAAAATATATTCGAATCACTGGAAATAGATCTAAATATAACAGAACATCATTTTCTTCCAGTCAGACCAGGTTCTGTGGATCTGGGCCTGTTGCCTATCAGCGGTTCTTACCGGCTGAGGTTCTGGTCGGACTGGTCTCTCGGCTGCAGCCCTGGCTGCGGTGACCTCGGGGTCGCGTCTTGTCGCTCGCGCTGCAGGGGGCGCCGTTGCTGCCTGCGGCGGGCCTCAGGATCCGGCCGTACGTGGAGCCGAGCGGGCGGCCCGGAGAACCGGACCGGCTGCCGGCTGAAACCAACAGAACCGGGTCAGAGTGGACCAGAACCACGAACCGAGGCGTCGAATTTCTTCACTCACGCTGGGACTGAGAGACGACCTGCCCTCGGCTCCGGCCGGCCGTCGCGGCGGGACCGGTTCCGGCGCTCGTCCTCCTGGTCCGGACTCGCCCTGAGGATGAAGACAAGATGATGAAGGACAACCCGTGATCCCTGAGAGGCGGGCGGAGCCGGACAGACGTTCTGGTTCTGACCGAGCGAAGCGTAGGATCCAGGAGGAAGAGCGGCGGCGGCGGCGCTGACAGCGGGCATCCTGCTGCGGGCGCTGGCGCTGGCGTTGACGTCGACGTCGCTGCGGGATCGCTGCAGAGCGCCTGGAGACGAGGCGGCTCCAGGCCTGCAGGGGGCGCTGGCTGCAGGTCCAACAGCTTCCAGTTAGTTGTTGCTCTGCACTTTACAATGTTTTTAATTAAATATAATAATTCAAAATGAGATGAAATTATGACAAGTTCATTTTATTTGAATTTTTGTTTTTATTGCAGTTAAACTGTTTATCTCTAACACCTGTAATCAGGTCAGTGAGGTAATATCACTGCTGAAAGACGATAAAGATTTGAACTGTTGATGTTTTTTAGTTATATTTTTTATCAGCTGGTTTTATTTTCATGCATTTATGCTTTTAAAACTAAAAGCTGTTTGTTATTTCATCTCTCTGTCTACTCAATGTTAATGTGACACTAGAATAATTAAAACATCCATCAATATATTACATTCATATGTGATACATTGAAATGCATGACCACAATAAAAACTGAAATAAACAAATATTTTATGATTATATAGGAAATATTATGCAATCAAATGATAATTAAATGTGATGAAACAAAGCAGGTTTCAATGTTGAGGTGTGATGTGTTGACCTTGATGTTGACCTTGATGTTGACCTTGATGTTGACCTCTGCTGCTGCTGCTTCCTGCTGAGCTCTTCATCGCCAGCGGCCGACTGAGGAGGAAGGAGGCCACAGAGTTAGAGGCAGAAGGCTCCAGCAGGTGAGCCCCAGGTGACCTTTGAACTCACTTCAGGCTCTCCTGGGACGAGGACGAGGATCGGTCGGAGGCCGGCAGCGACACCAGGGCGTCTCCGCTCCGCAGGTGGGCCTGCAGAGCTCTCTGATAGGCCGACTCCAGGCCCTGGAACAGAAGCTCCGCCTCCCGGCTGAAGTGACCCTGGTAGCTCCAGTAGCACCTGAGAGGTCAGAGGTCAGAGCCAGACTCGTTCTTATTGGAGCTGCTGTGTTTGTGGAAGCTTCCTTACTTCCTGGCCACAGATCGAGCTTCAGCATCAGCATCATGGATCCCCTTCTTTATCGTCTCCATCAGCAACGCGCTATGTCTGAGAGAGAGAGAGAGGACGAGAGAGAGAGAGAGACAGAGGGAGGAAGAGGAGAGAGAAAAAGGGAAGAGAGAGAGAGATGGAGAGAAATGACAGATGTTAAGTAATGAACTTTATATATAAATATGTAAATAAATATCCAGACAGTAAAATCACATTAAATCACTTGATGCGGCGTTCAGGCCTCTGAACATCATGACTCTGCCTCCACCGTGCTTCACCAGCATCGATCTCTAATGAACCCAATCCAGCCTCTGAGTTTGACTCTCCGGTTCTGATTGGACTCAGACGAGTCGATGCCACAGAGAGACGCTCCGGTGTCCCCCCATCGCCATGGAAATGGTGGAGGTGGAGCCGTCTGGGCCGTCAGTGTGTGTGTGTTTCTGTGTGTGTGTTTGTGTCGCTGTGTGTGTGTGTGTGTCTGTGTGTTTGTGTCGCTCTGTGTGTGTGTGTGTTTCTGTGTGTGTGTGTTTGTGTGTGTGTGTGTGTCTGTGTGTGTTTCTGTGTGTGTGTGTGTGTTTGTGTCGCTCTGTGTGTGTGTGTGTGTCTGTGTGTTTGTGTCGCTCTGTGTGTGTGTGTTTCTGTGTGTGTGTGTGTGTGTTTGTGTGTGTGTGTCTGTGTGTGTGTGTGTGTGTGTTTGTGTCGCTCTGTGTGTGTGTGTGTGTGTCTGTGTGTGTGTGTGTTTGTGTCGCTCTGTGTGTGTGTGTCTGTGTGTGTGTGTGTGTGTGTGTGTGTTTGTGTCGCTCTGTGTGTGTGTGTCTGTGTGTGCGTCTGTGTGTGTGTGTGTGTTTGTGTCGCTCTGTGTGTGTGTGTGTGTCTGTGTGTGTGTGTGTGTGTGTGTTTGTGTCGCTCTGTGTGTGTGTGTCTGTGTGTGCGTCTGTGTGTGTGTGTAGGTGTGTGTGTGTTTCTGTGTGTGTGTGTGTGTTTGTGTCGCTCTGTGTGTGTGTGTCTGTGTGTGTGTGTGTGTGTGTGTGTGTGTTTGTGTCGCTCTGTGTGTGTGTGTAGGTGTGTGTGTGTTTCTGTGTGTGTGTGTGTGTTTCTGTGTGTGTGTGTGTGTGTGTGTGTGTGTCTGTGTGTGTTTCTGTGTGTGTGTGTGTGTGTGTGTGTGTTTCTGTGTGTGTGTGTGTGTGTTTCTGTGTGTGTGTGTGTGTGTGTGTGTGTCTGTGTGTGTGTGTGTGTGTGTGTGTGTGTGTGTGTGTGTGTGTGTGTGTGTGTGTGTGTGTGTGTGTGTGTCTGTGTGTGTGTGTGTGTGTGTGTGTGTGTGTGTGTGTGTGTGTGTGTGTGTGTACCTGTCCAGGCTGCTGGTCTGCCACTCCTGCAGCATCAGGTCCACAAACTCAAAGCAGCGTCTGGAAAACAAGACAGGAAAAGTTTGTGGAAGGAAAACGTCACTAAAATAAAAAGAACATTTATTTATTTATTTTTATCATTTTGTCAGAAAACAAAATGATAAATATCAGTAAGAAAATAGTTAATATGAAAATTATTAGAACAATCAAATATTACTACAGTAATTAATATCAAATAATTAACAGAATTAAAAACTAAATATAAAAATAATAACTAATTAAATAAAATACAATTTTATACAGATAGATAATCCATATAAATACATTAATTTAAAAACTACTTGAAATATAATAATTGATGAAAATGAATGAATTAAAGTTGTTCTGTGTAACAACAGATGAATGTAGAGCGGATCCACTCTGACCTTCTGACAGCCACAGACTTGGAGGAGCAGCTGCTGCTGATGATGGGGACGAGGCGAGGACAGTGTGTGTGCTGCAGAACGAAAGGACAAAGAAAAGCTGCAGGACGTTTCATGGATCAGAACCAGGATGCTGTGGAACGGAGGAGATTCCTGTTCATGCAGCTTCCTGGGTTCTGGAGCCTCAAGGAGAGCAACGCTGCTTCTTTAAACAATCAGAAGATCCATTCTGAGCTGCTGTAGGGTCATTTTCAATTCAAATTACATTTGTTCTGCTTTACAGCTTTGAAAAGCAGAAGTGGAGCCTCCTGCATAGCCAACCAGAAAGCACAAACTGGTTTCTGGATGGTAACTCAACAATAAAACTCTCGTCTTTTCCAGCAGCCATTGTACAGCAGAAAAAGCTGCTGGAAATCAGCTGAGATTGCCAGGTAACTGTACAGCATGACAATATTTGGCAGGTTTCTAAAATGGCTCATTTTCCAGACACTAAACAAACATGAACTTATTATCAAAGACCATCTGGTGTTATTTTAGATCTTGGTCTGTTTTTAGAAGCAGCAGAAACAGAAACATGTAAAAAGTGAATTTTGTGCAGCAGGGCAGCTTTAAGACGTGGTGAGCAGAAACAGGAAGTGCACGTCGTACTCTGAGGATGAGGCGCATGGCGGCCACACCCGACGTGGCCATGACTTTGGCGCTGTTGGGCACCAGGTTGAGGAGGGCCGGCATGATGGCCTCGGCGGCGTGGTCGAAACGGCTGCCCAGCACCGCCGACAGGTGGCTGCAGGCGACAGGACACGTTACTAGTCAGGGTCGGAGGAGCTCCAGAGGTGAAAGGTCGCGGCCTCACCCCAGCGTGATGCAGGCCTCCCGGACCACCTGAGACCGCAGGTCTTTGGCGGACAGCTTGAAGGACGCCTCCAGGAGCCGCAGCTGCTGCAGGAAGCAGTCGAACTCCGGCGCTCCGGCCAGCAGCAGCGAGCGGAGCTTCTTCAGCTGAGGAGAGACGAGGCGGAGGTCAGAGGTCAGAGGAACAACACAGGATCCACACCGACACGAGGAGAAGACGGCTTACGGCGGCCACTCTCAGCTCCCAGTCCTTCTTGTCGTCCGACAGCACGTCCCGGATCTTGGTCATGGCCTCCTCCACCTCCCGGTTGGAGTAGATCTGGTGGAGGAAACGCAGCAGCTGAGGTTTAACGGACGAGGCTTCAGGGAGGAAGAAGACGTCTTACCTGAACTGTGGGAACGTCCTCAAAGGCCTGGATGAAATCCTCCTCATCCACAGCTCCTGCACTCGATCCGTCCCGCCCTGCAGGACAGAGAGCCTCGTGAAACACAGCCGACACGTGGACATGTGGGGCAGAACTGGTTCCGGTTCTGACCTGCAGACTTGCTGCTGGAGGCCGAGGACGGCCGCCGGAACGAGCCCATGCTCACCGCCTTCCTCCCAGACACAGAGGCTGCTTTGGACGAGGAACGTCCGCCGTCCACCGACTCATCGTCCTCAAAGGTTTTATCTGGAAGACAAATGACAAGGAGCGTTTTAACACCAGATGGTCCGCTTGACCCGGTTCTACTGGAACCAGATCTCCATCATCTCCACCTCCAGCTGCTGTGGTTCTCTTTATCTCTGCTCCGAGTCAAACCAAACTGTTCCCCTCCTGGCCTGGGGGGGCGCCACACAAGACAAGTAATGACAAAAATAACTTCCCGTTTCACCAGATGGAAACAAGATGGAGGCATCAGAGTTTAGCAGTTGGAAGATTTCTCTTTGTTTTAGTCTTTGGCTAAAGACCAGGAAACATTTCTTCTGCTAACGCTAGGCTAGCACGCTAGTTTTGGTTTTATTTACCCAGAATGCCTTGCACTGTTGTCTAATTCCTGCTTTTGGAGCCTCTTGGTGTTCACATATGAATTCAAACCAGAGTTCATTTCAACTGAACCCAGACCAGAATTAGCTTAGCATTCACACCTCATCAACAGAACTGGTTTAAAACAGACTGGGCTGAACTGGCCTGGTGTGAATGAACCCGATAGCTCAGCGGGCCCCAGCAGGCGGGCCCCAGCAGGGGGGCCCCAGCAGGCGGGCCCCAGCAGGCGGGCCTCAGCAGGCGGGCCCCAGCAGGCGGGCCGAGGCTCGCTGCTGAATCCCAGCAGATTCCTGAGATTCCTCCAGAACCGGACAGCAGACAGAACAATGGGTCCGGTGTTGAAGAAGCAGAACTACTGCAGAGGATGGTTCTGGTGCATGCAGTGATTTCTGAACTGCTTGGGGGTCAGCAGGTGGCAGCAACAACAGAGCATGTTCTCTGGTCATCAGGACTAAAACACAGCAAGCTTTACCGCCAGAGCAGGAGCCGGCCTGCAAGCAATCGATCCTGTTCCAAACTGAGCCGACGCATCAGCAGGTCACTGAAGGTAAAGCCAGCGAGCTTCACGTTGGTTCTGTCCAGACAGAACCTCCCTCTGAGTCTGATATGAAACCAGAACCGCTCCGCTTCAGTCTGATCAGTTCTGACTCGGCTGAGCTGTTTTAGGCCCTCTGTCACTTTAAATCCAAACAGCAGCTGCTGGCCACGCCCCCAGCTCAACGTTCACACTCACACCTGAAAATGGCTGCAAACAGATGCACTATTATACAACCAGACATCTTTGAAAAGAAGAAGTGGAGCCTCCTGCACAGCCAATCAACAACAAATCTCTAATCTCTTCCAGCAGCCATTGTACAACGCAGACATTGGGAAACCAGCTGTATGTTGCTAGGTAGCATGCTGGGCTTCACTGGGGTTGCTCTGATTTGAGGCTTTACATTTTTAAATGGCTCATTTTCCAGACACCATAACTTCATCCAGAAAACATCTGGCTGGTTTTTCAGCTGCTTTTAGAAGCAGGAGGAAATGAATTGAAGCACAAAAAGAGTTTCCTCCACTAGATAAAAGCATGAAACCAGCAGAAGTTCTACAGAACCAGAACCAGGACCAGAACCAGACTCGGACCGGTGCAGTAGAGTCCAGTTTGTTTCAGCTGATCCGAATCAGTTTCCTCCTCACATCCTGAAACTTCCTCCCAACCATCAGGCTCCGCCCCCTCCGCCGGCTTCCTGTCTGGTTCTGATGCCGAGGAAGAGGAGCAGCTTACAGGAGCAGATCCTCCTGCAGACCAGCTTCCTCAGCATGCCGGCTCCGTCCGCTCCGACCGCTCCGTCTGGCCCAGCAGCTGCAGCCTGACGGCGCTCCAGACAAACCAAACACTCCTCCTCTTCCTCCTCTTCTTCCTCCTCCTGTTCCTCCTCCTTCGTCCTCTGATTCTCTCCACACAGGATGGAGGAAGACGACCGAGGATGGAGGAAAGCAGGAAGAGGAGGAGCCAATCAGGGGGAGGGGGCGGAGTCAGAGAGGACGGAGCAGCAAAGTGATGAGTCAGCAGGAAAATTATTCAAAATATTTCTTTGCAACTGATTGTAGCATTAAAATACACCAGTTAAATAAATTATCTTGAAATATTTAACTAGGTTAAAAACAGAAAATGTGAAATAAAAGCTGATCTTAAAATATTAAAAGCATTTAATTGAACTAGAAGTAATAATAAAATTCAAATATTTTAATATTTTATTCTATGTGAAGTTTCCAGTTTAGCAACAAAGCTGAGTCACTGAAACCAAATCTACCTCAGAGTATTGATAAAGCTGATTGATTGATATCATATAATAATTTGAAATAAGATAATAAAATGTTAAATGAAACTACATTAACTTATAAAGAGTCATAAGTCAGTCAGAGCAAGTCCTGATGGGAAATATTTACACATGATGTAGCTCAATATTTAGTATTAATCAGGGGAGTTCAAAGTGCGGCCCCGGGGCCACTAGTGGCCCTCAGAATGATTCTGGGCGGTCCCTGAGACGTTTAAAGAAGCGTCTAAAGTTGAAGTTTTCACTGATGCCATAAACCATAAACCCTAAGGTGGCCATGAATATGTAATTTAGAAGATTTTATTTCTGAATTACATATTTCAGACAAACATTAAGGCTAATTCAGCTGTTTCTGACTGGATCAATATCTGATTGTAAATGTCAGATATCGGATCAGAAAACAGTGGATCGGTGCATTAATGATAAACAGGCGGCTGTTCATCTGACTAATGAATGCATTGGGGCGATGCGCAGCAGAACGACGTGCAGCAGCTGCAGCCCTCTGAATGCAGACAGTCAGAACCAAACACAATCGGGTCATCTCAGAGATCCGGTTCCAGCTGAACTGTGCGGTCCCGTCCAGCGGCTCCGGTTCTGATGGAGCCGGACAGCTGGCTTTAATCCTCCTCCGTTCAGACATTCCTCTGATTCACTGGGCCGGGTCAGGCTCAGAACCGGGAGAGCCGGGACCAACCGGATCTCTGTTGTCCAGCGGGCGGTACCGGCCTGCGGCTCCACATCCCGACCCACACGGAGAACAGCTGCTGGTTTCATTCCTGTCTGAACGAGAGGCGGCTTGTGACTCCTAGAGCGGCTCCAGGACGAATCAGACAAAAGCTCTTCCTGTTCCACCAGCAGCTCCTTCACGTCTGGACTTTCTGACCCGACAGGAAGCAGGTCAGAATCTGGACCGGGTCAGAATCTGGACCGGGTCAGAGGACAGATCCTGATGAGCCGGCTGGAGGTGAAGAGGAGGATTTACCTGTGGAGGAAAGCTTCTGCGCCGTGCTGCTCCGTCCTCTTCCTCCTCTGCTGCCTCTCTGTCTTGTGACTGTGAGGACGACAGCTGACGCCACTCCTACAAAATAAAAGCCTCAGCTGCTGCTGTGCTGCGGGGGCCCAGTTTGAACCCTTGTGTCCCAAAGACACCAGGACAAGTCTGACTCCTGAACTTGGACTGTTCCCTCTGAGCTGGAGGAAGAGGGACGGCGTTCTCCAGGATTCAGACAGACTGTAACTTTATATCCATTTGTTAAATCACACAGGAACATAATCCATGACAGCTTGGACTGTATGGAATCACATCTTAGCATTTTATCATATGTTCTATATGTATCAGGGCACCAGATTTTTATTATCTCATATTATCTTATGTATCCATCACATTGTATCACATTTCAGAGCAGAGGATCAAACCTGGGACAGTTTGACTCTGTAGTCTCAGATTGGGTCCCACCAAGCAGCCGACCAGAACCAGAACCTTCGGTGCTGATCGGCCGTTCTTACCTGACAGAGGAGACGGCACCATGCTGCCCGACCTTTGGACCTCGTCGAACTTACTGAAGATCATGTTGAGCCTGCAGAGGCACAAACACAGAACAATCAGCAGCAACACGCTGAGGCTGCAGGCCGAACTCAGAACCTGGGACACAATCGAAACGGGTCAAAGAACTGGAGCAGGAACTCTGAGACAGACGAGACAGCAAACAATCAGAGACACGGGGTCAGAGGTCACACAGGAAGAGGAAGACTGATTCTGTTCTGAGCTGTAAAGAGGAGCCCAATACAGAAACACAGGACCATCGGTCCCTGAACGCACCGTGACTGAGGCAGAATAAAAACCACATGGTGAGGAGTCCCTGAACGCACCGTGACTGAGCAGAATAAAAACCACATGGTGAGGAGTCCCTGAACGCACCGTGACTGAGGCAGAATAAAAACCACATGGTGAGGAGTCCCTGAACGCACCGTGACTGAGGCAGAATAAAAACCACATGGTGAGGAGTCCCTGAACGCACCGTGACTGAGGCAGAATAAAAACCACATGGTGAGGAGTCCCTGAACGCACCGTGACTGAGGCAGCCCTTTCTTCCCCAGGTCGATTCTCACTCGCTCTCCAACATGGCGGTAGATCTCCACCAGGCAGGACATGGCTGCATCACGGACCTTCACACCAACATGGAGACACAGCAGGAATTTAACTCCATACAGGAGAAATTTATTCAAACTAAAGGGAATAAAATGTTTCAGTGTTTTCAGATAAATCAAAGTCTGACTCAGAGGCCTCTGAAATGTAAATTCAGGGTTTTGTTGCTGAGAGATTCTGGCTGCAGGAAGTGAGGCGGGTGGGCTCAGCTTCCTGTCCTGAACAGGAAGTCAGACTCTGGTGATGACAGACATCTGCAGCCAATCAGGACGCAGAAACTCTGAGACCAACCTGACTGTCCAAGAGGAGACCAGAGGTCCTGACCCCAGCAGGAAAACAAAGGTTTCCTCACTGCAGTGTTTGTTTGACCAGCAGAGGGCGCTGCACTACAAATAAAGCCTGATTTATTATTCCACTCAGAAAACTGGGAAAATTTATGCAACAAATAATTCTATTAAAAAACTAATAATTTATAGAAAAAAAGCTAATAAATTATTTATTAGTCCAATAAAAGTAAACTTTTGGAAATAAATAAAACTTAAAGGAAAATTAATAAGATATGTAAATAATATTAGCCCTTGGAAAATAACATTTAAATTTTAATAACTAAACTATATTTGGTAAATTAATAATAATAATAATAATAATAAAATAAAACACAAAGAAGAATAGTATATGATAAAGCACTTAATAACTGAAAGATATGACAAAACTCTGAGGAAAATAAAATGTGTGAAAAAAAATTTTTTTATATTAAAATAGGTAAAAATATCAAGCAATTTTTAATTAAATAATAATATTCGTAAAATTGATAACTACATCAAAAACATAATAATATAAAATTATAATAGAAATACACAGAAGAAAATAGTGAAATAAGGATGATATCTTAAATGAAGCCAGCTCTACACATGCAGGTTAAATTAGCACCATTAGCTCCTCTGGAGTTAAACTGGAGCTGCAGACCAAATGAGACCAGTCCAGCACTGGAGGAACTGGAACCAGTGGGCTCAGAGTTACCGGGTCGTACCTGACTGGTCGGTCTCCCAGCAGGTTGCAGATGTGAGGAACGATTTTATTCAGCGTCAGACTCTGAGAGCCGAACCTGGAAGACACAGAGCAGGACACTAACACACACAAACCGCTTTACTGTCAGAGGTCAGGGGTCGGGGGCCACACACTCACACGTTGAGGGTGGAGATGAGGCAGAGGCAGAGTCCCTCTCTGGTCCGGGAGTTCTTGTGCTTGAACCCTCCCATCATGCGCTCCCAGACGTACTGCAGACACACAGCAGGGGGTCAGAGCCTCACCTGGACAGGAAGCAGCGTTCAGCCGCCGCAGCTACCTGGGGGTTGGCCGACTGGTCCATGACCTTCAGCAGCAGCGCCTGGTCCTGGTCCCGAACCTGGTCCTTGGAGTCGCCCAGCCGGTCCATCAGGCTGGGCAGGACTGGGAGAGAGACGTGATAGATAGGAGGCAACATTTGGAATATTTCATCATGTCTTAATAATATTATCTTGGATTATTTTTGTCCAAATTCCACATGGATCTAAGTTTCAGTGTTTTAAATGTGCTTTTACTCACTTTTTTAAATGATTTATTTTAATATGTTATTACACATTTATTTAATTCACTACTTTTATTTTTATATGTTTTACAATTAAAGGTGTATATTGAAATACTATATTTTATTCATATTTCCTTTATTAAGTATATATTTTATTGTATTTCATGCCTTTTTCCTAATTTCTGTGTTTATTTTTATTGACTATAATTAATGCTAGATATTGAATTAATTTGTTTGGTTTTTCTGTACTATATATTATATTTTATAGTAGCTGTTGATGTTATTTTATTCACTATATTTCATTTTTATTCATATTTTATGCTGTATTGATGTGTTTTATTAATTATATAGGACTTATTTAATTCACACTGTCATTCTGCAATTTTTACTCTGAATGTTATTTTGCTAAAGGTTCAAACTGATTTCAATATTCTGTCACATCTCAGCTGTTATTTCTCCAGTTCTCCTCTGTATGTCTATTATTGTCCTCACCTGTTCCCACCTGAGTCCTGAACCTCTCCTGCAGCCGGTCCACCAGAGCCGACAGAACCTCCATCCCCAGCAGAACCACCTGAGAGGAAAACACGCCGACGTGAAGCAGGAAACACCCAGCCAATCAGAACGCAGCTCAGCCGCTAAGGATTCTGGGTACTGAGCAGTAAACGGGGAGAAACGGCAAAAAGCTACAAACTGGACCGAATAACTGGCTTTAAATCAGCGGATTCAACAGAAGAAGGAGAGGCGAGGCGGACAGTGCAGGAAACGGGAGATCTGGGTCGGAACCGTGACTGAGGAGGAAACTCGCTCCGCACTAGAACCACCACCGGAACCGCCCTGCAGCTTTCCTTGTCTCGGGGTGGACCGGGCGGCTCAATGAACGGCTAGTGAGAGTCTCCCTGCTAACACCGAATCAACACATCCGCATCACCAGAGCGCATGCGCTCGGGCTAAGGTGCAATTTTTGGAGCAACGGCTCAAAATTCAGTGATTGACTGGGATTACTACCCCTGTGGTGGAACGCGGTATTGCATCACACTTATATACCGCAATATCAGCATTACTTTCAAAATATATAGATTTCTGGAATAAACACTGGGATCAAATACTGCAATTTTTTTAAAAAAATGATGTTTGTTATGCAAAGAGTAGGTACTATGGACTGTTAATCAAATTCAGCGCATTTCTCTACCAAATACCCAGAAATTATTTTAAAGATCTTATTCAACAGAAGCTGGACAGGAAGAGAGAAGACAAGCAGCAAAAGGCCGGGAATCGAACCATCAACCTGCTCTACCTCTGAGCCATGTGGCGCCACAAAAACTCAGACATTAAGATTCATTTCACTTATTTCTAAGAAAAAAAACCCATGTATTTTATTATGTTTAAAGCTGTAAATTTGCTGAGGTAAAAATTGCCAATTTTTTTCTACAAAGTTGAAAACTAATCATTTTAAACTGTGAATTTA